AAAAGTAAGTAGTGTGTGTATATATATATATATATATATACACACACACACACACACACACACACGTACATATATGTGCTGCACTACAGTCAGGCTATTTTACATCAACAGAAGTCACTGTAGTTCATTCCCAAAGCCCTTTCACTGTTATTACTTTAAATCTAAGACCTTAATCCTGCAAGTACTTTCACAGGTGACTAGTCCCACTGAACTTAATGGTACTACCTGCATGCATTGTTTACAGTACTAGGTTCTGCAACGTCTGACTACCAATGCATTTACACCATAAATAATTTTGCTCCTAATAAAACCGAAGCCAGAGGCTGTCGTACTTGAACCTATACTAATGAGTTCAGTTTCTCATAATAAATGAGTAGGGGGGTGGGGGGGGGAGAAATCAGTCACATTCTTACTTCGATCACACTCTTCTATTGCAAGGGCAGCTTGGGATGGTTTTAAATACCTCACATAGCCCAAACCTTTACTTTCTCCTGTGGTCTTCTTCTTAATAATGCTACAATATTCAATGTCTCCATACACCTAGGAGATTTAAAAATTATAAAAACAATTTTATCCAACGTTTCTGAAGTTCATAAAAATTTTACATTTTAATCTACTGTCAAAAATAACCTGAGAAAATGCAGTTGGATATAATGAATAACTAAAACTCAACTAGTACCTTAAACTTATTCCTCAGATCTTCCTCTGTATAGGACTTTGGTATCTTAACAAAGATGCGTGTAAGCTCTTCATCTTCAACATCTCGGTGGCTTCCGGAAGCTCTGGACTGGGCAATGAACACCTAACAGAGTTAAACACAATGTTATTTACTTGTGTAAATATACATGAATAGTCAGGAAAAATAATGTCTTCAAATAGCTTTGTGCTTATATTTGCATTCTCTGACTACTCCTGTGGCAAAAAAGAAAAAAGTTGCCTTTCACTGTAGATATACTCTGACAAAAGACCTGCCTGCTGCAAACATGTACATCTGTACACAATCAGGGACCCAGATGGAAGACCAGCCCACATAAAGAATTATGGTTCATTCTTCAGTTATTATAACCCATCTTCCAAAAGCCTGTCACAAGTTAAGCACTTGGGAGCAGTGTAACTGGCTGGTCAATGAGTTGCTCCAGTGTTGTCTGGCTACCCTGCCTCCTTCACAAGACCTGAGAGGGCAGGAAATTTTGAAAGGGCACCTATGCATGGTAGAGGAGGAAGGACATGAATACCTAGGCTGGCCTACTATTAGCAGCATTAATGCTGGCACAGCTGGCTCTTTAAGCATGCACTGATGTACACTGTAGCAAAAGGATGGACTACTTCATAGCAGATCCATGATTGTAGCCATTTTGTTTAAAACAAACAAACATGGATCACTTAACGATTGCCTGCTCTGTTAGTTTCCTCTGAAGCACCTGGCATTGGCCACTGTCGGAACACAGGATACTGGACTAGATGGATCATATGGGTCTAACCCAATATGGTCACTCTCAGGTTCTAAAGAAAAATAAAAAAGTCTAACAAGTAGCATACTAAAGCCCTGATACTGCAGTGTGTACTAATTTGAATGGGAATCCACTTATGTGGGGCTCAGCATAGGTCAAGACCTAACTTCTCATAGTCATAATTATACTCATAATATAGTTTTCATGTATATTGCGCACCTCTCTTCAGAGGATTACAAGGCACACAAAAACTAGTTGGAAAGTAACCTCACTTTCGAGATGGAGAAACTCAATCACAGCTGTTAAATGACTTGCCTAAGGCCATACAGCCTGTGGCAGAATAAAGAATAGAGTCCTAAGCTTTTAACTCTCAGGGCTTGTCTACACTACAAAATTAAGTCGACTTTATCTAATCTGACCTTGAACCTCCGAATTAAGTTGATTGTGCGTGTCCACACCATGTTCATTGTCTCAAAGGAGTGCGTCCTCACTAGCAGTGCATCGTGGGTAGCTATCCTAAAGTGCAACTTGACGCAGTGTGTTTTGGGAATTTTGTGCAATGCCTCATGGGACCAAAACATTGCTGCAGGGGAGAACGGGAACATTGCGTTGTCACCCCATGATGCACTGTGCTCCCTCCCTCATATCAACGGCAAACAACCCAGTGGTTTTCATGCCTTAAAATCGCCACACATACGCCATAACCCCAGAAGCATGGAGCCTGCTCAGTTGTGCACTCTTGCTGTGAGCATCTCAAACACCTCATGCTTTCTCCTGCAGTATTTCTAGAGCCGAAGTAGAGCTGCAAGCCAGTTGGGGGGGGGGAGAGAAAAACCACACAATTCACAGTTGCTGCTGGAAGTCACAGAGCAGCTGCACTCTGTTGAGTGCCATTTCTGGTCCCGTGAAGCAAGCACTGACTGGTGAGACCGCATCGCTTTGCAGGTATGGAATGACGAGCAGTGGCTGCAGAACTTTCGAATGCAGAAGGCCGCCTTCCAGGAACTTTGTGCAGAGCTTTCCCCTGCCCTGCAGTTCAGCAACACAAAATGAGAGCTGCTCTGACAGTGGAGAAGCAAGTGGCGATTGCTATTTGGAAGCTTGCAATGTCAGACAGTTACCAGTCAGTGGGGAATCAATTCGGAGTAGGTAAATCAACCATGGGAGGTGCTGTGCTCCAAGTGTGCAGGGCCATTAATCGACTTCTGTTACAAAGAGTAGTGAGTCTAGGAAATGTGCAGGACATAGTGGATGGTTTTGCCATGATGGGGTTCCCTAATTACGGTGGGGCGATAGATGGCACGCATATCCCCATCTTGGCACTAGACCACCTTGCCAAAGAGTACATAAACTGAAAGGGATACTTTTCAATTGTGTTACAAGCACTGTTGGATCACAGGGGGCATTTCACTGACATCACGCACATCTTTAGAAACTCGGGTCTGTTCAAAAAGCTGCAATCCGGGACTTTCCTTCCAGATCACAAAATGAACATTAACGATGTTGAGATGCCTATAGTTATCCTGGGGGACCCAGGCTACTCCTTGCTCCTATGGCTCATGAAGCCATACGCCAGCCATCTGGACAGCAGTAAGGAACGGTTCAACTATAGGCTCAGCAAGTGCAGAATGAGGGCTGAATGTGCCTTTGGTCGTTTGAAAGGGCACTGGAGAAGTTTATTAACAATGTTGGACCTTATTGAAGAGAACATCCCCATGGTTACAGCTGCCTGCTGTGTGCTCCCTATCATCTGTGGGGGGAAAAAAAAGGGGGGGGGGGGAGGGAGAGGAGGGATTTTCCACAGCGGTGGGCACTTGAGACTATTCGCATGGCAGCCATTTTTGAGCAGCTAAACACCAGGGCAATAAGAAAAACACAGCAAGGGGCACTGTGTATCCGCGAGGCTTTGAAAAGCTGCTTCTACTCAATAAAAACATTTATTTCTCTAATCCATTTACTTTATTTAACTAACATAAGTAAAGAGGGAGAACAGAAAAAAAGGTAACCTTGGGGATCGCAGTTCGCCGTTCCAGGCCAATGGGGACAGCGGGAAGCGGCGGCCAGCACATCCCTCAGCCCGTGTCACTTCCCGCGGCCCCCACTGGCCTGGGAAGGCAAACCGCGGCCAGTGGGAGCCGCCATCGGCCGAATCTGCGGACGCGGCAAGTAAACAAATGTGCAAAGGTTGCCAATCCCTGGAGTAAATACTAGTTCCAGGGACTATATCTTCCCCTAAGCCTCCTGTTGTGGTTTTATGATCACACTTCCCTTTAATCTAAAGGTTTCTCTCTCCCTCCTGTCGCTGTGGGGAAAACTCACACAAACAAGGGAAAGCTGCTGCCCACCTATAAATGCGGCTGCACCAAGTGCTGCCAAGTACCCTAAACAGACAAACGAAAGAGAGTCGAGGTTTGTGTCTCTTGTTCTGGAGATGAGGGGACGCAGACAGAAGCGGATTTGCCATGGCACCACTGGCGCCATGGCACTGGGCCCACACTCCAGGGGGGCCCCGGCCAGGGCCACACTTCTCCGCCCCCTGCTCTCTCCTGCAGGGGGCAGAAGCTTGGTGCTCCTGGCACTGAGGCTCCTGCTGCAGTAGGGAAGCCAGACTCCCCCTCCCCTGCCTCCTCTCACAGCTTGCTCCCTTCCCGCCCTCCCTCTCCCTGCCGCCAATCAATCAGCTGTTTGCCGGCAGGAGGGCGGGCTGCAGCATGCTCACCAGGGGAGAGGAGGCAGAGAAGAGGAGCGGTGGGATCTTGGGGTGGAACGAGCATACCTACTCTGACTGCAGAGCTGCACAGCCAGGCTGAAAAAAGAAGGTGCTGCTCAGCTCCCAGGACTTTGCAGTTGGACACCACCTTCTGGGTACTAGTGCTGTTTGAGCTCCCTTCTGTGTGCTGGGAGCCATCCTTCATCTTATACAACAGTGAGTGCCTGTGGTGGGGCAGGCAGGGCAGGGGGGATAGGACAGGGATCTGCAAGCTTGCTATTTGAGGGGGGAGGGATAGCTCAGTGATTTGAGCATTGGCCTGCTAAACCCAGGGTTGTGAGTTCAATCCTTGAGGGGGCCGTTTGGGGATCTGGGGCAAAATCAGTACTTAGCCCTGCTAGTGAAGGCAGGGGGCTGGACTTGATGACCTTTCAAGGTCCCTTCCAGTTCTAGGAGATGGGATATCTCCACTAATTAACCTTCGGCCCACAGCCCACCAGGGTAAGCCTCCGGTGGGCCGGGCCATTTTGTTTACCTGCCGTGTCTGCAGGTTTGGCCGATCATGGCTCCCACTGGCCATGGTTCGCCGCTCCAGGCCAATGGGGGGGCTGAAGGATGAGGGATGTGCTGGCCGTGGCTTCTTGCAGCCCCCATTGGCCTGGAGCAGCAAACCATGGCCAGTGGGAGCCGCGATCGGCCGAACCTGCAGACGCAGCAAGTAAACAAACCGGCCCGTCCTGCCAGGGGGCTTACCCTGGTGGGCCACGTGCCGAAGGTTGCCGATCCCTGGGATAAGGGAAACAGGGGCCCAGCATGCGGATCCCCTTGGTAGCAGCTGGTTCTCCCCGTTAAGCAGGCCCATCAAACCCTCACCCTGACAAGCCCCACCTCCCCTGCATCTGTACTACCCTGATGAGCCCCCACAGACACCCTCCCCACTGAGCCCCAACCACCTACACCTAGACCCCCACCCAGATGAACCCTGTAGATAAATCTCTGTATTAAGCATCTTCACATAACTTTCATATGACTTTGTATTATGCCTCTTCATATAACTCTGTATTAAGCTATTTTCATACAACTTTGTATCAAGTCCTTTGATATAGGAATTTTGTATCAGATCCCTATGTAGAAAAACTTATAGCAAACTTTGTGTTAAGCCTTGGTATAATGTTATAGCCCCTAAGGATAGTTAAAGTAGAAGAAAAATGTCTTTTTGCTAGTAGAATAAGCTCTCCCCCCCCTTAATCAATTGCCCTGTTGAATGAATGAGGTGTGAATGAGCAAGGCATGGAAGGCAAGCACCTCCAGACAGCTAGTTGGAGAGGGGATGGAAGCCAGACCCAAGGACAATAAAACTCATCAAGTGGGCTCACTAAAAAAGAGCAGACATATTGACAGCCTAGCGGTTGTTTGGGGGGGGGGGGGGGGGGGGGGGGAAGCAAGCACCTTCTTTTGGAAACACCCTCTTTGAACAGCAGTGGGACAACACCCAGTAGGAAGCAGCACAAAGGACCAACTGACACACACACAGATTTTGAATCTGGCACAGATTTGCATGAGAGGGAAGCTGCTATAAATGTGAGGTGGCTTGCAGAGGACCCCAGGTCTCATCTTGTCAACATCGGAGCATCAATCCGGATCGGCAGAAGCCCAGCTCCATCCCTCCCCTATCTAACTCACCTGGCCAGTGAAGTTAAGGGGAGCAATTAGCTGGTAACAACAAGACAGAGTGAGTGAGTGTGTGTGAGTGTAATATAGATCATATGCATATGATACAGTGTTGATTGATGCATGTATTACCAATGAATGTGACGTTTGCCTTATTCCCCCTGAAAAGATCCTGTGCAGTACTTAAGTACAACAACCCAACCTCCCCTGCACCCAGACTCCCCCCCGCCCCCGCTGAGCTCCAACCACTTTCACTTGGTCTCCCCTGCAGACTCCCATTGCCCCTGCACCTGGCACCTCCTGTGCATCCAGATCCCCCACTGAGCTGCCTGCACCCAGACTGCCCCCTACAGAACCCTCTTACCCCCATCTGGATACCACACTAAGTCCCTCTGCACTTGGATCCTGCTGCCAGGCTGAGCCTCTCTGCCCACATCTGGTGTGCCTGGCGCAAAAGGAGCAGGGCTCCAGGGTGTTTCTGTGGCGGGCCAGGTCCTTGTGCTGTGTCAGGTTCAGTCTCACTGCCAAGTCCCTGTCACACAGGGGCAGGGGAGGCTGCAGGCTATTCTCCCACCTCCATGCAGCCAGTGGCCTGTGCTCCCCACTGCTGTGGTGGAGCTTCTACATTTATTTATTATAAAAAAAATTCAGAATTTTAAAATATTATGCACAGAATTTGATGCAGAATTCCCTCAGGAATATGGGGCACTGTACAGCCAGGGCCGGCTCTGGCTTTTTTGCCACCCTAGGCAAAAAAGCCACCCACCGCGCGGCAGGGGAGGGCGCTGAGCCCGGCCGCGAGCCAGCAATTCCCAACCAGCCGCAGCGCCAGGGGGAGGGCGGCGAGACCACCGCGGCTCCACTCTCCCCGGTGGCCAGAGCGCCGGGAGCAGGGCGGAGAGCCCGGCTGGGGCTCTCCACTCTCCCCGGCGGCCAGAGCGCCGGGAGCAGGGCGGAGAGCCCAGTCGCGGCCCCGCTCTGGGGCCAGAGCACCCCGCTGCGCCGCCCCCCTCCAGGCGCAACCCCAAGCACATGCTTGGTGGGCTGGTGCCTGGAGCCGGCCCTGTGTATAGCTGTGATGGTGGGACTGTGAAGGGGGTGATGGACAGTAGGGGATCTGTGGGTGCGAGAGCTGGGCAGGGTGCTTGGTGTGCAGGGTGCTGTGCGGTTGCGGTGGGAGGTCAGCAGGAGGGGTCTCTAGGCAGGGGGTGCTGGGCATAGGGATCTGTGGGGGAAGTCTCTGGGTGAGGGGGCGCTGGCATAAGGGCAGGGCACTGGGCAGGGGGGCAGTGTGGAAGGGGCACGCTGACAGTACAAGGCTAGGTGGGCCACTCCCAGTTTTGGGTTTGTAAACAGTGCCCTTCTGCTGGGCTGAATGGGGCCACTCCCACTGTGCCTCATTGGCCCCAACCGCCCCCTCGCTCTGCAGACTGCCCCCCATCACATGCCTTATTTCCCCAATGGGGGCCCACAAAAAGTTAATCCAGCCCTGGACGCAGACTGAAGTGTGAGTTTCTCCGGGCGTTTAGCTAAAGCATCTTGCTCCCCGCAGCAGAGACTATGCCTGGCGGTGGGGGAAGGAGGCACCGCTGGGTTAAGGCCGAGGTGACTGATCCCCTTTCCGCACCATGCTGTGGCGCCCGGCTCTGCGCTGGGACCGGCAGGAGGGGAGAGGCAATGGCAGGTGGGGGCTCTCATCACCCCCACAGCCCGATCAGACGAGTCCTGGGCAGCCCGCACCGCGAGGCCGGAGCGGGGGCGGCTGCGCTGGGCCAGGCCCCACCGACCCAAGCCACGAAGGGGAGGAATCCGCGGCCTCGCTGCCCCCCGCCACCACCTGCGCCCAGGACCAGCCTGCGCCGTGGGGACACAGGGGGAGAAGCGGCTGCGCGGCGGGCGGCAGTCGGGCCGCGAGGGTCGGTACCTTGATGGCCTTGGTGTCGGGCGCCAGGCTCCGGCCGTGCATCTCCTCCATGGCCCGGCAGGCTTGCGAGCTGCGGGCGAACTTGACGAAGGCGATGCCGCGGGACTCGTGGGTGCGCTTGTCCCGCACCAGCCAGATGTCCTGGATCTCCCCGAACGGGGCGAAGCGCTCCCGGATCAGCGCCTCCCCCGTGTCCTTCCCCAGCACCAGGAACACGCGGCTGTTGGGGGGCTCGTCCAGGCACACGGCTGACACGCGGAACCCGCAGTACTCCTCCATGGCGAAGCCGCCCGCCCCGAGACTAGTCCGGAGCCTTCAGCGCCGGTGTAACGACATGAACAGCTCCAGAGCAGTAGCCAAGGCGGTCATGTTTGCCTGGCGGAAACTGAACCCAGATGCAACAGGGGAGGGTCGCTATTTGTGTCGTCACACCGGGCCAGCCAGCAACGACGTCCTTCTCGGCGCCTGGGCGTTACTGTGCATGCGCGGTAACAGCTGCTGAAGCCGCCTGCTGCCCACACTGTGCCCTCAGGAAGTTATTCCCTGCTGTGAGCGGGGCGGAGCTTGAGCAAGGGCCAAACCGGTCCATGGGCTTGTTTCGCACTGCGCGGGGAGGGGCAGGAGCCGGCGTTATGCAAGGGGGAGATGCGCTGCCGGACAGTGGCGGAGGCTAGGGAGGGTAACGCGGGATGAGAGAGTCGCTAAAGCAGGGAGCCAGCTGCACAGGTGCCAAAACAGGGTGTGGGTGGCACAGGGGCTTGCATAACTGCTGGATAGTCCATCTCAACATCCCTTTCCCTGGGTGTGGGGATAAAGGCAGCCCAGTGACTAGACACAGCCACTCTTCTCGGCTGAGACAATGTATTGCCCTGACAAAGGAGATGTGCTTCAGTTAAAAAATTTTACACATCCACCCTCCTAAAAATTTTCATATGTGGTTTTTGGTGGTTAAAAGAATTGTGAGTTTGTGTAGGTGTAAAATGTCTGCACTGAGTCTGAGAGCAGCTCCCAGATGTGTCGTAGCTGCTGTTCTGAGTGCCTGAATGGTGCTTCATTTTCTGTAATCCACTGCACATATCATTTCGCTCCATTTATTTATTTAAACATTATGTTTTTATGGCTTATTCTTAGCACACCATCATTTACCTTGGTTAACATTGTATAGATGAATGTTGTGTTATTTAATGTATTATTTAATATTAAACACTCGGCTCTCTAAGTGGTGCTTTTTAGCAGTAGATCTCAAAGCACTTTTACAAAGCCTCAGGGCCCAATCTGGTAGGTAGATTGTATGTGAGAGGAGGGTGGGGATCATCCACCTGGAGGATTCCACCAGGCTTTAGGCAGGAGCTGGGCCTCAGGACTAAGGTGGCTTTGTGTATGCTCACCAGCAGAAAGTTAGGCACCCAGGGAATTTAGGCATCTACAGGGCTAGGGGGCAGCTGGGTGGGGATTTTGAGGATCTCAATTTTTTATTTGGGCACATAAAGTAGCAGACAGGCACCTAAATCCCTATGTGGTTCTAGTTTCTAAAATTATTTTCAGAAGCATTTGAGCAGGTTAGGTGCCTAAATCCTATTGAAATGTATGGGTTAGGTATCTAGCCTTCTTAAGCACTTTTGAAAATTCCACTAGGCACCTGTCTGCATTTTTAGACATCTAAATACCTCTGGAAGTCTGGCCCTTTGTTCCTAGCTGTATGATCTTGCATATGGCTGTATTAAAACACATTTTGTTTGAATGGGCGCAGCCTACCAAACAATATAGATCACTCTGTATGACTGCTCTGTCATCATTTAACTCTCTTCCAATCTTTATATCATCTGCAAATTTTATCAGCAGTGATTTTGTATTTACTTTCAAGTGATAGATAAAAATATTGAGTAGCATCAGGCCTAGTACTCATCTCTATGGAACCCCACTAGACTATCGAGTCATTCTCACTCTCTCTCTGGCTGAATGCATTTTTAATTATTTATACACAGTGGAACAGCTTTAACAGGAGATACAAAGACCTAAATCAGAATATCCCATAGCCCAGTAGTTAGGGCACTTATATTAGCAGCAGGAAACCCATGTTCAAATCCCTTCTCTTCCTTCTCAGATGGTGGGAGAAATGAGAATGGAGAGGGGTAACTAGTGGTGTTCCCCAAGGGTCAGTCCTAGGACCAATCCTATTCAACTTATTCATAAATGATTTGGAGAAAGGGGTAAAAAGTGAGGTGGCAAAGTTTGCAGATGATACTAAACTGCTCAAGATAGTTAAGACCAAAGCAGACTGTGAAGAACTTCAAAAAGATCTCACAAAACAGTGATTGGGCAATAAAATGGCAAATGAAATTTAATGTGGATAAATGTAAAGTAATGCGCATTGGGAAAAATAATCCCAACTAGACATACAATATGATGGGGGCTAATTTAGCTACAAACAAATCAAGAAAAATATCTTGGAGTCATCGTGGATAGTTCTCTGAAGGTGTGCAGAGGCGGACAAAAAAGCAAACAGGATGTTAGGAATCATTAAAAAGGGGATAGAGAATAAGACGGAGAATATATTATTGCCCTTATATAAATTGATGGTACGCCCACATCTTGAATACTACGTACAGATGTGGTCTCCTCATCTCAAAAAAGATATACTGGCACTAGAAAAGGTTCAGAGAAGGGCAACTAAAATGATTAGGGGTTTGGAACGGGTCCCATATGAGGAGAGATTCAAGAGGCTAGGACTTTTCGGCTTGGTAAAGAGGAGACTAGGGGGGATATGATAGAGATATATAAAATCATGAGTGATGTGGAGAAAGTAGATAAGGAAAAGTTATTTACTTATTCCCATAACACAAGAACTAGGGGTCACCAAATGAAATTAATAGGCAGCAGGTTTAAAACAAATAAAAGGAAGTTCTTCACACAGTGCACAGTCAACTTGTGGAACTCCTTATCTGAGGAAGTTGTAAAGACTAGGACTATAACAGCGTTTAAAAGAGAACTGGATAAATTCATGGCTGTTAAGTCCATTAATGGCTATTAGCCAGGATGGGTAAGGAATGGTGTCCCTAGACTCTGTTTGTCAGAGGGTGGAGATGGATGGCAGGAGAGAGATCACTTGATCATTGCCTGTTGGTCCACTCCCTCTGGGGCACCTGGCATTGGCCACTGTTGGTAGACAGGATACTGGGCTAGATGGACCTTTGGTCTGACCCAGTACGGCCGTTCTTATGTTCTAATTGAACTGGGATCTCTTGCATCCCAAGTGAATTCTATAACCACTGAGCTAAATGATATTTCTGTCTCCTTCCACATTTTGTGTGCTGTTAGGCATGCACCACCATTGTTATTTCAAGAGACCACTTAGATACTAGACTCCAGGAGGGGTTTCCTAACTGTGAATCTCAAGAAGCAATAAGATGCCTAACTCCCTGAGAGGGGCAGGGTTAGGCCACATCCCTCTTCTCACCATCTGCTATTGGCTAGTTTAGGCAGCTCTCTACCTAATCTGCTGGGTTTTGTGGATCCCATTCTCAGGTGCCTATCTCTTCCAATCCATTGTGTAGGGAACCTAGGCATTTACCTCAGGGTTTGTTGATTCCACTGTGTGTTTAGGCACCTAAAATGTAGGTGCTGCAATGCTCACCGATACAGAGCCTAAATCCTTTTGTGGATTTGGACCTGAATGTCTCATAATTTTTAATGTACAGTATTTATGCTCACTACTCCCCAGTGAGGTTGGGAAGTGCTATTACTCCCATTTTATAGCTGGGAAACTGAGACAAAGAGAAACTATGGAACTTGCCTAAAGTCACATAGAAAATCTATAGCAAAGCAAGGAGGTCTGGCATAGCAAAGAGGAGCTACTTACATTTGGTCTACACTCAAACACTGAGTGTACACCACACAAACCACAACAGACCAGCTAAATGTTACCACCATTTCACCCTTGTCCTGAGGATTTCTTCTAAGATACTGCCTTAACTTATCCCTCACTATGCCCCAGAGTCAGAGACCACTATAATGTATGCCACAGGAGTGCTGTCAATCCTCATGACAAGAGGACCCTCTTATGCACCTCTGCAGACACAACCTACAGAACTCAGTGCTGAAATAAGGCATAATTGATCCATGCTTTCTTGTCACATCACAGTGATAGATCTGCCAACCTGCTCACACTAATCCCTCCACCATTCAATACAACTACACTCAACATAGTGAATGCAGCTGGAGTGCATGCAGATAAATTCTAAATTTCAAATCTGTGGAACCAATCTGTGGAACCACTCTGTGGGCAGAGAAGACACTAGTTTCGAAGTGCCGTTAACGGCGACACCTGTCGGCGGAGATGGTACGGTCTAGTCTCTATCGAAACACTGGGGTGTCCTAGGGCCAGGTCCCAGGGCCATTGGTGCACCAATCAGCAGGCGGAGTGCTGGATTATGCGGTCTGTGATTGGATGGTTCTATTGTGACACACACTCCTTCCCCCAGGACCGGCAGACAGTGTGAAGTGGCTGCGGGGTTAGTTACTGGAGCTGTTCCCGCCAGTGAGAGCGGCGAGGGGCGGGCTCATCTCCGGGTGGGAGGTACCGGGGGAGGGGGCTCATGGAGCGGGGTGGCCACGCCTGAGGGCGCGGCTCGCTGCGGGCGGTAGCGTGGGCGGGGCCTGGGCGCTACAGGCGGGCGGGGGAAGGAAGCGTTGGAAGGGGAGCCACCTGTCCACTCTGCGGCAGTGGCTCCGATGCGCCGGGGGGAGGATCTGGGTGGAACAGGAAGCCGAGGGAGCTGCCCCAGGAAACCTGTGCTCTGCGTGCAAGCGCATTCCCGTGGGGTCTCTCCCTTGCAGGACTTTTTCGGGGGGGAGGGGAGCTATTACTTATACTTCAGGGGCTGTCGCCCAATGTTTTCCTACCAGATGCAATGCTCTAAGGCTTAACATCCCATGAAAAGGGATCACTGTAATCGTTGCGCAGCTTGATACATCTCTCCAGCAGGAAAATCTTCCTACCATAGTCAGAATTGTACTTAGTTCCATCCAGTTACCGCTACTTCCACCTTGTGGTAGTACCCTATATAATCTCACCCCCCCCCCTTAGGTTTACACCTTTCTCATAGGTTTCAGAGTAGCAGCCGTGTTAGTCTGTATCCGCAAAAAGAAGAACAGGAGTACTTGTGGCACCTTAGAGACTAACAAATTTCTCATAGGTGGTTGTGTTTCTCACCTCTTCTTTGCCCTAGTTCAGCCACACTATGCATTTTTTTTTAAGTTTTCAGCATAATTGTTCGTATAATTTTAATGTGAACATAAAGATCACAAAGTTCTACATAAACTCTTCAGCCCTAACATAGTAAAAATCATACCTGCTGCTTGTTTGTAAATGAAATTGTTTAGAATTCAATTTACTTTTACCCTATAATTAAGCACCAGTGATGTGCTCAACATATAGTCCTTCCCTTGAAGAATTAG